AGACTCTAGGGATGGCAGGAAGGGTGGCCCTGTGGAGAAAGCACCAGACCTTAGCATTCCTCACATTTCCTATCAGGCAGGCTCTCAAAGCCAGGGGAGAGACAGCTGTGAGCTAGACCCTGGCACCAGAGGTGTGGTTGAAACGCATCTTGTAATGGTGCACAATCTTGATGTACCGGGTGTGAAGAATGGTCAAGAACAGAGGGTTTGTGTAGCTGGAGATGATGCAGCTCCATGTTCTGGTCAGAAATCTGGGGAGACTCCTGGCACTCCTCCTCCTACCCCACAGCAGGCCAGAGAGGTGTCCAGGGACAGACAGATAAAACAGTTTTCCAAGAAGCTGAAAAGCAAGCTGGCCAAGGAATTTTTCCCTGCCACCCCTCCTCCTACCCCTCACTATCAGCCTGAGCCTGGCCTAGGACCAAAGGGCACCTCCCTGGAGGCAGACAAGGCTGAGTTTATGCTCAAACTGATGCGGTCTCTCTCTGAGGAGGCAGAGGGCAATGAGGATGAAGAGGAAGAAGAACTGGCAGAAGAGGGTGGTGTTGGCAGCACTAACAGATGTTCAGAGACAGGGGGAGGCCGGCATGAACTGAAAAAGATGTCCGCTCAGAGAATGTCAAACAAGGAAGCTCTCCATTATGCTGAGCGGCTGGCGTGTCATATCGTCTCCATGGCAACAGAGATGGACACCCTGGGAGTGGCAGAGGAGGAGGGGCGGTTGAGCAAGGGCAGTGAACAGAGGAGAGACAGTGTGGCTCAGTTCTCAGAGCAGACTCTGAACACCTTGTGGGTGTATGCTGGGGAGGTGGCAGGACAAGTCATCAACGATGTGAAGAGGATGGTGAGCTCTGGACAGCAGTGTCCATATCACAGAGCTCTGAGAAGAAGAAGCTTGGACAGATCAAGCTCTGAATGCTTGCATCATCACCACCATTCTCAGCCCAGTACAGACCAGAGCAGAGACAGGCAGGTAGGAAGGTTGTCTGAGCAGTGGTCTAATGACCGGATAGCCCCTGTGTTCAGGTCTCCCACCTCCACCTCGAGCACCAGCTCCAGCTCTGGCCTGTCCTCAGAGTATCCCAGCTGTGAGAGTGTGACAGATGAATATGCTGGCTACCTCATCAGGGTACTGAAAAAGGAGGGAGGAAGTAGGGAGTTGGTCCTAGACCAGTATGCAAGTCGTTTGGCCTACCGCTCCATAAAACTAGGCTTGGCTCATGCCAGTCGCAAGATCAAGCAGAGATCCTCTAGCAGCCGCCTTCACTCGTCCAAGTCACTGCCAGATGAATGGAAAGCTTCTGGTAGTGAGACCTTGTCTCCCAAGGACAGAGTAGAGTCAGTGGTTTGTCTCTCAGGCAATGATGCTCAGTGTTTCTGCAGGGACTCCGAAGGCCAGACACGCAGGGAGTACATGGATCTGGTCAGCTTTGCAGAGTCTTTGGCTTACAACATCACCTGTGATGTAACGCGCAAGCTGCATCTTTCCTCTGTACGACTGCCTAAGTCTCTCACTGACACCTGTCTTTATAAGAAATCCAAACTTGAAAACATGGCAGAGAATCTCATAAGGAACTCATTCTCCTGCCCCCTGCTGTCCAAGGAGGGTAAAAGCAGGCATTACCACAGTACAGGAAGCCTGTATGATGGCGGCTATGGCAGCAGGGTGATGCAGGTCATCGAGCATTATGCCAGGAAAATAGTTGATGACACTCTGAAGATGAGCCTGGCCTCTTTTGGACATTTATCCTGGGAGCAACAGAGGACCCAAGGACATGACAGACACTCTCACACCCAGAGACTGTTTGAGAGACCAGCACTGAGCCCAGTCCTGGTGGAGAGGACGTGCCGTTACTGTCAGGTTCAGGAGTGCCCGTACTGCATCAAACCTAGCAGGCACCAACACCAGCCTGTATTCCAGAGGAGGAAGAGGGGGCTGGAATGTCAAGCAAAGGCTGAGCGTCTCTCTAGCCTGGAGATTCCTGAGATCCACATTGACATGGACCACAAGGCAGCATTTGCAGAGGAGATGGTGTCCATGGCAATGGAGACAGCTAAACGTGAGCTGAGCAACACCAGCCTTAATGCAGACAGCGGCATCGGCCACGATGGAACCAGCTACGCTGAGAGTCTGACTGCTGATATCATGACGTCAGCCCTGTCCAACATCTGCCAGGCTGCCAGCATCAGGTACATGCAGCTGCATGCACATTGGCACTGCTATAGTTCATACATGTTGTGACTACCATGTTTCCTGTTGTGGCAACACATACAATAGGTAGCTGTAGTATTTAAGCAGCTTTGTTTGACTTTCTATCAAATCAAAATCATTAATAAAGTTCTTTGCGGCTCCTAATACTTTAATTTGCTTCATCCTTTATCATTTTAATTAAACAGAGAAAACTGTCATCATGAATGTACAAGTCTAAATATTGGCATAACTTCTGAAGCCCTCTTGTTTCTGTCTTCTTCCATTTCTGTGTGTGTCCAGCTCTCCAGGCAGGGAAACCACTGAATCCACTGTGTCCCAGCAGCTGAGTGTGGGAGATGACAGTCTGGGCAGCTGGTCGAACCTGAGCTTCGAGGATGAGCACCCAGACGACAACAGCAGCTTCCTCCACCTCAGCGACAGGTATATAACCTCCAGCTTTCTCAATACATCACAGATGTGCTGCAGCATACCAAATGTCCAGTCATCTGCAGAGCACAGAGCTGCTATTTCCCTCTGTTAAATAAGAACTACTCCACTGCACATCATCTCTTAAAGGGGTATGTTGGTGTGGGTCTCTCCACTGTCATGTTCATTTTACACTTCTGGATTAACTGTTGCTCTAAAATTAATAATCCTGGTTTAAACGTTTGTGTAGCTTATATTATGCCCAGTATGTTCTCAAAGTGTCACAAGTGTCATTTTTATTCACTGGTCACAAAATTAGGTGAATTAGCTTCAGTGTTTTTCTCTTTGCTCTCCCAGTCATGTCGCCTGGTGCCTATACTTGTGACAGCAAGCCGTCAAATTTAACACAGGAGTATTGGCAAATACTCCTGTGTTAAACTGACTGATTGGTTTGTTGTTGTTGATCCTGTTTTGTTGTCCACTCGTTCTTTATTTGGTCTGTTGTTAGAATGAAGGGTTTCTATATCATGATTTCTATAAAATATTTAGCATATGTTCTATAAAATATGTTCAACTCGGAGCATGTAAGGAAAAATTAAAAGTAGGATTTGAACCCAAGTGACGTGTGAGGATCTATGCAGTGAGCAGGCTCTGAATTGTCCTTTCACAGAGCAGCTCTGGGTTTAGCATTTCATTTAGATGCAGTAGAATGTAATTCTATGGAGTCATGGACATAAAGAATGACATCATGCTGGTCATGCTGTGCTGTTCATCTTCTCAGACCCAGAACAGCAGAGGAACCTCAGTGTTTCAGCTTTATACATTAAACAGGAGCAGCCCACCACAGCAAAACTATTACTGTTGCTGCTTTAGAATTTTATGAAATATAATGTCCCAGTTACATGAATTTGCATAGGGCTTTTAATTTGAAATGAGGAATACAGGAAGAGGAGGTGTGAAGCAACACCCAGCT